CCATGGGACCAGTCCCAACCAGGCCTAGGGCCTGGTCCGGGTCCTGGTTTTTCTCATGGGCCTGAGACCGGTCCCAAGCCCATGAGTGACTGGTCCCATTTGGGACCAGTCCCAAACCGGCCCAGGCCTGGGCCCGCAAGGGACCGGTCCCTGTCCACCTCTAATTTTATTAGTAGAAATTTTACTATAGTTTAATTTGGAGGTGTTGTTATTTGTGTTGGCTTAATAACTTGTTCATTAGTAAATTTTCTTAGTTTTGTTTTGCACTCGTTAAAGTATTATAAATTTATTTAATATCGTCTAACACAATCAAAAATATATTAATTATAAATGGCATTATAAATATATACTCATATTGTTGCATAACTTATACCCTATATATTATTTATTATAAGTTTATTTATAACTGTATTATTAAGTTTAATCAACGTCTTGACCCCCCCTAAAATGAGTTTCTGGCTACGGCTCTGATCATATTGACTTTCTAAACTCTCAAAGAGATCATTGTGTTTATAAATTATGGCGGATTAAAAGTTAGAGAGAGAAAAAAAGTTGCACGCTTGTGTAATAAATAATATTTTATTTATTTATTTTTCTTAGTTAACACTTCGAGCAAATGCTTACCGAACATCCGCTTCACACTTTCCTTGATTAAAAAATGGAAAATGTGAGCATGAAGTCATAATCGAACGGCCCCTAAAAGATCTAGGATTAAAACAATTTAGATAAAGTTAAGTATAATATTTGTATTGTCCCTTAAGGTACTCAAGTTCATTTAGGGCATATTTGGTGTATCACATATTGTATCGTATAACATAGTATTATATAACATCATCGTAAACGTTATACTATATATAATATAATAGTGCTCGATGTATCATTGTATTGGAGAAATTGTGGCTAATTAGTGGAAATCAATTTTTTAAGTCATCTCATATTGAACATATATTATAATTTATCATCATCCAATGATGGATCTGTCGATAAATAACGAGATTAAAAGAAAATTAATTCATGGTTTATAACAATTGTTAAGACCATATGTCCAAACTCTTAAATCAAAGTACAATTTCTAATAACATATATACAAAATATTGCTAATAAGTTAGACCGCATATTCATTGATCAGTGAAATCAAAATAAAAGCATAGCAGTTGTGATAGACTTTCTAATCTTTATATGTTGTCATAACCACAAAGTCTATAAAATAAAACACGCAATCACACATCATACCGACGCCATTGTTGCAGTAAGAGATCCATTGGAGATCGGTTATTAAGTCGATTTCTGTATGGCGTTCGTAGCTTTTTTCTATAGTTCTTGTGGTTTAAGGAGTAAATTAATAAGAAGTCGGATTTTATTTTTTGGGACAGTTCAACTGAGAAAACATAAACATCTTGGAAGAGACATAATAGATATAGTTCAGTTCAATATTATAAGAATGCAGAGACCAACTAATTAAGGCAAACGAGCAGAAAGGAATAATTTTTTTTACTGTGTATTAGTTAGCCTAATTAAACAGCGTACAATACAACTGTTTAAAATTTAAATATATACAATTGGTAGGAATACTAACTTCGAACCTAGGAAGGAACTACAACAAGAAGGTAAGAATATCTTTATTACAGAGGTTATCTTAAACAAAAACTAATTTTACTATTTATTAATTATTAACATATTAATGATAGCTTTAATTAAGGCTTAAGCCACCCCATATTCTCTTAATGAAATGACACTATATATATGACACTGAACACAAGAAGGAGAAATTTTCGTTTTGATCTATCAACAAACTTCAGACGCTGAGGTAATTTTGTTTAGTTTACATGAATAATAAATCTGATTTCTTTTAAATGTTAAAAAGGCTGTGTTTGTTATTTCAGATGGGGTGGGGAAACATTTACATAAGACGCATCAAAGTGTACAAGCTGGCTTTCAAAGTTTTCCTGGATTACAAGGTAATTAAGGCTGCGTTTAGTACCCTATTCTAATACTATCCTCTTCCACTATCTTATCCTAAAAAATAAAAAATGTATTTATTTTAATATTCTTCAAAATTCAATTCTATTATATCTAACTCAAAACATTTAACAATTAGTTTTCTCAATAAAAAATTTAAAATTAACAAAAATACCCCTACCGACTCAATAATTGTCGACAACCGACCACCATGTTGGATGGTGGTTGGAAATCGTCGGAATGACACACGACCGGTTGGATCTGGCTAGTTGTACGTCGATCTGTTTGTTTCTGGTTAATCCACCATGGATCTGGTTGAAAATAGTCAGATCTACTGTCAAAGATCTGGCCATTGACGGCCATATCTTGGTGGCCAAATGATGGAAATATCTTGGCCGTCGTTTGGCTATTGTCAACGGCCGGATATTTGATTGTAGATTTGACCGAAAAAGGCCAGATCTAGCAGGTCGTGCACCATTCTAGCAATTTTGGCCACCGTTCGGCGGTAGTGGCTGACTGTCAACAATTATTGGATGGGTGAGGGTTTTTTTGTTAATTTATAAACTTTTATTACAGTGAGTGTTTAACTAAATTAACAAATGTATAGTAGAAGATTATGGAAGTCTGAATTTGATTTTGTTAGGCTAATCACTATGATCAGGCTGAATACTGTAGGATTAGAGATTACTTGTGTTTGCCTGCATTATGAATTTCCTTTAAGTTATTTCATTTGTTGCTGGTGATGCATGAAGAATATAATAGGTTTAACCTTAATTTAGTCTTTATGTTTATTAATAGGTTAGTTGATTATTTATAAAATAAAGTAATGAATTTATAATTTCATTTTAATATAATTCTATTATATTTCAATTTTATTATCTTAATTTTAATTACTTATATTAATGATTATGATATTTATATAATTAATTAATTATATGAAATTGAATNTGGTTGAGCTTAAATACTATTGTTAAATTCTTATCTATAAGCTTGAGCTTTTGAGAGAAGTGGTTGCTTAACATGCTGTCAGAGTCAAGTTGACAAAATGGCCTTTTGTTGAAAACTATGATAAGTTGTGTTTTTGATTGTGTATGCTCCATAATAAGGGTGTAAACAAGCCGAGCCAAGCCGAGCAGAGTATATGGCCGATTGAGCTCTGCTCGGCTGCTACAGTGTTGAACTCGAGCTCGGCCAAGAAAAGGTGAGCTTGAGCTTGGTTCGGGCTTGGGTCAAATAACACCTACTCGAGCTTGAGCCAATGATATTCCATCAAGCCCACCATCTCCCAGCCACCGTCATCGTGTCCCACCATCTCCCAGCCACCATCAAACATCTCCCTCCACCTTAAAATCTAGCATAACTCACAACAAAAGCCACCATAAAACCCATTCTAAAATCCATCATAAACTCAAAACTCACCACATTGTCAAGCAGAACTGGCCGTTGGCATGGCCAATGTGGGCAGTCAGATCTAGCCAGCCACATGGGCTACACAGTTGACTAGATATGGCCGGCATCGTAGCCCACATGGCCATCCATATTTGGCCGCTTTTATGGCCTCAGTCAGACATGGCAGCCATGGTAAACCAAGAAAAAAAAGAAAGAGAGAGAAAAGTGAGAGAAGAAAGAATGAGGGGAGAGAAAATAAAAAGAAAGAAAGGAAGAGGGAATAAAAAAAAGAAAGGAAGATAATAGAATGAGGAGCAAAACTGGAGAAAGATGAAAAAAGAAAAGACGAAGAAGAAGACGAAGAGATGAGATGAAGAAGAGGGGTAAAAGAGAGAAAGAAGAGATAAGGGGAAAAATAAGTTATAATATGTCGAGCTCGGTTCGGTTCACGAGCTTGTTGAGCTGAGTACTGGCGTGTTCGAATTCGCCTCGACACTATAGCGCGAGCGGCTCGGCTCGGCTCGGCTAACACCCCTACTCTATATGCAAGTGCATGGAAAGGGGATGGTATAACTTAAATACAATTGTCTGACCTTTACCTAAAAGCTTAATCTTTTAGGTCAAGTGATTTCTTAACAACCTTGTTTTGAATTCGATTTCTAACCCTTTTATTTATTGTTTATGTATTTCTAGTTCGACATCTCTTCAAATTGTTTCTCTTTCCAGATTAAGAAATAATTATTTTTGTCTTTGTCAAAGGGGGACCACGTAGCTCTTTTGTCTGCCATGGCAGAAATGGGACTTACGCTACGTCTAGACTTGCCCGAGCAGGCTATGGAAGCTATAACTTTTTTCTTCCGTGATTCCACACCAGCAGATAAAGCTTTCGTAGGTTTACTCTCAGATTGTTTTCTCATCTTACATTTTCTTTAGAGCTAATGTCCCTGTGTACAGGATACCAGGAAAAATATTGTTGATCAAAAGGAAAAAAGCATGAAGCTTATACAGGAAAAGATGAAATTTAGCCAAAAAGAAATTAAACGTTTTAATCCTGTAAGGCCATATCGTCTCCTATTCTCTATATGTCTGTCTAAGACATTCATTAAAATTTCATTTATATTTCTAACATTGTTACACACTTTTGTTCCAGTTCGATGCCTTTCCTGGTGATTTTGTAATGTTCTCAAAAGTCCTTACTCTCCTTAGAGGTATGGTATAGAGACCTCCATTCTTTACCTTGTGTAAACCAACTGTCCATTTTTATCTCATTATCTAACATTTTCAGGGCTTTCGTCCATGATGAAAGTTCGTACGGTCTATCTGGATATTTTGAGACCATTTGCCGAATCTGTTTTAGAAGGGTCGGTCCATTGTAACCTTGATCTTTTGTTTCATTGCTTTTGTTACTAGCTCATATCTGACTACAATGTGATTTAACTTATTAGAAACAAGAACAAGGGACCAGCAGAAAATCCCCAGTGGATATACAATACTCCAATCCATTCTGAAGTGGAAGCCAAGCTGAGGGAATTGTTAGTTCAGCTGGGGAATGAGGACAGAATACTTGGAATTCAGGTCTGCACCAATTTTAGTTCAGTATCTTTCCAGTTATGTCATTTTAATAGCTTGTCATATTTTTTTCATTNTTAAAAAGGCTGTGTTTGTTATTTCAGATGGGGTGGGGAAACATTTACATAAGACGCATCAAAGTCTACAAGCTGGCTTTCAAAGTTTTCCTGGACTACAAGGTAATTAAAATTTATGCGTTTAGTACCCTTTTGTAACAATATCCTCTGCCACTATTTTATCCTAAAAAATGAAAAAATGAATTTGTTTTAATATTCTTCAAAATCTAATCCTATTCTATTTAACGTAAAACATTTAACAATTATTTTTCTCAATAAAAATTTTAAAATTAACAAAAATACCCCTACTCACCCAATAATTGTCGACAGTTGGCCATCACGTTGGACGGTGGCTAGAAGTCATTGGAATGGCACACGATCGGCTAGATCTGACCAATTGTACGTCGATCTGTTTGTTTCCAACTAGATCCACCATGGATCTAGCTGGAAATAGTCAGATCTACTGTCAAAGATCTAGCCTTTGACAGCCATATCTTGGCAGCCAAATGATGGAAATATCTTGGCCGTCGTTTGGCTATCGTCAACGGCCGGATCTTTGGTCATAGATTTGACTGAAAAAGGCCAGATCCAGCCGGTCGTGCACCATTCTAGCAATTTCTGGCCACTGTTCGGCGGTGGTGCCGACTATCAGCAATTATTGGGAGGGTGAGGGTGTTTTTGTTAATTTATAAACTTTTATTACAAGGAGTGTTTAGCTAAATTAAAAAATGTAGGGGGGTTAAAAATAATCTAAATATTTTCCAAAAATGTACCAAATACATTCTCAGAATTTTAAAAAACTAAACAAACGGAGCTTAAAATTGATTTCTTTGTTTGCAGTAGACCTGGGCATTTGGGATTGGTCCCAAAAAACCGGTCCTACGTGAGGACTGGTCCTACGAGACCAGGTCCCAAACCTAGACCAAGCCCATGAAGGAGGGGTCGGTCCCTAGATTGGGCCCTCCTCCAAGGCCCGAGCCCAAACCCCTTTGCATTTTTTCAAAAAAAGTCCTTTGAAAAATATCCATAAACCCCTGTAATTTTGAAATTGACAAAAATATTGAGGGTTAAATTGGTATTTTATAAAATATACTAATCTCCGGGGGTGCAAAACATTTTCCAAGCCTCTAAAAATTACATAAACTCTCCTACATAATTTTATTTAACCCCTTAAATATAAAAAAAAGTTGGGGGTGGAACGGAATTTTTCAGGCCCATGGGACCAGTCCGGCCCTGAAATTTCTCATGGGTCTGGACTAGTCCCAAATGGAACCAGTCTCAATGGGGCCTAGACCCGACCTGGACCCGGTTGGGACCGGTCTAGTTTGCAGCTTAATTACTTATTATTTTGATGTGAAATCTTATTGACTTATTTAGTGTTAATGTTAACTAAAGGTTGTACAGATAAAAGCGAAATGGATTGAAAAATCTAAAAGAGATGGTTTATGGGAGAAAGCTCATAACCGAAATGGTAAGCGTATTGTGAATTTGATAACAGAGTTGAATGGTTTATGGGTGAAACTTGGACAGTACTTATCGGGGCGTGCCGATGTGCTTCCGGTAGAGTATATAACTCTTCTCAAACAATTACAAGACTCGCTTCCTCCTCGTCCTTTACAAGAGGTGGTTCTTCTTCTACCTTTCAACTTAAACTTGTATAGTAGAAGATTATGGAAGTCTGAATTTGATTTTGTTAGGCTAATTACTATGATCAGGCTGAATACTGAAGGATTAGAGATTACTTGTTTGCCTGCATTATGAATTTCCTTTAAGTTATTTCATTTGTTGCTGGTGATGCATGACGAATATAATAGGTTTAACCTTAATTTAGTCTTTATATTTATTAATAGGTTAGTTGATTATTTATAAAATAAAGTAATGAATTTATAATTTCATTTTAATATATTTCAATTTTAATTACTTATATTAATGATTATGATATTTATATAATTATTTATTTATTGAAATATATTAATCATTAAAGCATTAATTTTAACTAAAAATTTAGCGTTTTGATAATTATTTTCATAATATGACCAAAACTATTTAAAGTTACTCTATATAATTTTTTTATTAGAAAATTAAAATGAAATGTTTTTAGGAATATTATTATTTTTAAATTAATTAATTAATTAGGAATATATCATTAGCTAATATACTATTAATAATAAAATTTATATAAAATATATTTAATATATAATATAAAAAGAAAAAAATTTATCCCTATTAAGACGAAGAGTCACTTGCTTCTCCACGAGACTCTTTATCTAAATCTGAACCAAACGCGGGACTGGACTATTTAAAAAAAAAAAATAGTCTAATCCCACCTTTGGTCCAACGTCTCGAACATAGCCTACAGTATTAACCCTTTTCACAATCCATCCTATAAAGTTATCAAATTTTGTTCTTACTTAATAAGCAAAGTTCATCAAAGTATTCCCAAATTTCATCAATTGAACTCATCTTCCAACCTTCATCAAACACAAACCCTTTTAATTGACCAATCAAATCATCAAATTTCACGGATCTTTAGAAAATATCAAACAAAAGAATAATAATAAAAATAAAAATGAAAGATAAAAAATTGGTCTGCGGTGGCCACCGCCGTTGCTTGAGCCCCCACGCAGCTGGCCAGATTTGACCGCCGCGTGGGGGCTTCACGCCGACTAAATGTGGCCGACACTAAGGCCTCCGTTTTTCTCAGTTTGGGTATGTGCATATTTTTATTACATCTTCAGAATATCTAAGAGGTAAGTTTGCTTGCACAGGTTTGTCAGACCATAGAGAAAGAGTTGGGTGAATCTATGGATGATCTCTTCATGGATTTTGTCCAAAAACCTTTAGCCACAGCATCAGTAAGAGCCTCCAACTATAATTGGTAGTATGAGCCAATGAAATAGTTAGTACGTTATGGGATTTTCATGTTTTAAACCATACAGATTGCACAAGTCCACCGTGCCAAGCTGAGTGACGGGCAGGATGTGGTTGTCAAAGTTCAACATCTGGGCATCAAGAAAATTATCTTGGAGGTTTTACATCCTTTTTTTTTATAAGTATTTGATGCAAAGAAAAACCTGCAGTGATTAAACGGTTATTAAGTATGCTATAATTTTATAGGACTTAAAGGATGCAAAATCGATTATTGACTGGATAGCTAGGGTAGAACCGTTATATGATTTCAATCCAGTTTTAGACGAATGGTGCCGAGAAGCTCCAAAAGAACTTGACTTCAATCTTGAAGCTGGTATGATAAGTTTTTACTTCATCATATTTTTGGAGCAAATATTAGTTGTCTTCTGTTCCTATTAGTGGGAAATGTGATACGCATGTGAGTTTTGATGAGATAATTGGTTCTATTGTGGAATTTGAAATGACAGGAAAAAAAGTCACAGATTTTGCACTTCCT